CTGGACCGCTCACAGGCCGCATTCAGACAGTGCCGAGGGGAGAGCTTCGCTGCCTTGAGCTCGCCATACGGTGCTCGTCAGGACCGACGGTATATTTTTTTGATATTGAAAACGTTGTGCGCGGCTGGTACAGCCTACAGTCTCTTTGCCAGAGCAAAAGTGAGTTGAATGACCTGTGGTCGGAGATCGGGGCCTGCTTAAAGACAGGGACCCCAGCGAGATCGTCGTGCTCCAGGTTCCCTCTCACCTCTCCGCTCAGGATATGCATGATCGCCGGGTGCCAGGATGGATGGTGCATGGAAATGAAGCGGCTGACGCCATCGCCCTCGGAGCAGCTGGGCGATGTAGGACCCCTCTTGCCATTAGGAGTAGAGTGGCCGAAGTCGAGGGGCGGGCTGCTTTCATCAGGCTGAAGCTTCTTCGGGCGACCCTCGAGGCCACGGTCGCCGAGCGTGAGGATGCGAAGGTAACCGCGCCTGGCTCCGGCGATCGTGTCCCGTCGGCCCCAGTCCTGCCGCCCCCCGCCACATCAACAGTTGCTCGTTTTCGGACCGTGCACTCTCTCAGTGAATGTGGACTCAGACGCACCACGTGTCACAGTAGCGGCACCAAAGCCACCCTGCACCAATGGCTTGCCTCCCCGTGTGCGCCTTTAGAACACGTAGATTATGTAATTTCTAAGGGGCCTAGTGGGAAGCTGCACTTCGCTGGGGGGTGGGCTCACGAATCGCATCGTATGTTCTTTCACCAGACACTCAAGGTCTGGATCTGCGGGGTTTGCTGGTTGTTCTTTCTTCACGGCTAACCTACAAGCGGGGGCTCAGGCAGGAGCGTCTAGGTTCCGAATCCCTCAACGACACGAGGCGATCCTACCTGGATGGTTTCCACCGAGGGTATGTCCCCAAGCCATCAAGCGCTGCTGAACGGGCAGCGCGGCGGAAGCCTGGGGGGGAGTTTCTCTTTCATTGACACCGTCATACTACTATTCCTCTTCCTCTTCCTCCTCCTCCTCCTCCTCCTCCTCCTCCTCCCCGTCCTGCCCCGCGCCCATGTCGGCACAGCCTTCACACGTTGTGCCACCGTAGGGAACGCCACCTAAGGCGCCAGTGGGCGCCCAGGTTTGCCGCACTGCGACCACTTCGGCACACCCCTTGCACATTTCGCGCTTCCCACAGCAAGCTCCACTTACGGCCCCAGTGGGCGCACGCGTATTCCGCACCACGCCCATTCCAGCACACCGCTCACACGATTCGTGCCCCCATAAGGAGTTCCACCTACGGCTCCAGTTGGCGCCCACGTGTGCCGCGGGCCCCAAATTTCGGCACACCCTTCGCACATTTAGTGTCCACACCAGGGGTTTTCAGGCAGGCCTCGGATGAGGATAACTCGCTCCAGAGCGTTCCAGAACGCCTCCATAGCGTTCTGGATCGCTCTGAAGCGGCCGCGGCGCCAGATACGTCCTCTGGACCCGCCTGCTCTCAAAGATTCCCGATTTTCCCACATCCAGACTAATCCTCACCCTGCCTCCGTTTCAGACTTCCAGTTGCGACCCCAAAGGGCGCCCGCGAGTGCTGCCCTTGCATCTTCTGGCACACCGCCATACGTTTCGTGCGCCCCGTAGGGAGCTCCATTTATGACCCCAGTGGGCGCACACGTATGCCAGCCTGCGCCGATGTCGGCACACCCTTCACATTTTTCGTGCCCCAAGAACGGGCTCCACATACTGTTCCAATGCCGCCCCGCGCCTATGTCTTCCCTCGCCCCTCTCCCCCTCCCACACGCGTCGTGCCCGTGTAGGGGGCTCCACCTACGGCCCCAGCGGGCGCCCACGTATGCCGCCCCTCGCCCACTTTGGCACACCTCTCACACGCTTCGTGCCCCTGCAGGCAGCTTCACCTACTGCCCTATTGGACGCATTCGCGCGCGGCCTTCCCCCATCTTGTCACTTTCTTCACGCGGGTTGTGTATCACAACGAGTCAGGCGCGCCTCTATGTGTTTGCTCCGCAGCCCGCTTTTCGCACTGCCCAGCGGAGGGCAGTATGTGAATAGTGGGCCTTGCTCTAGGTTTCAACGTTTGCATGGCCGAATGTGTGGCGCAATCGTAGTCTCTCGATGTATCGGCCAGGTTGTTCTTGAAGATCGGAGCACAGACTGGCCAGTGGAGGAGGAGGAGGAGGAGGAGGAGGAGGAGGAGGAGGTGGTGGTCGGCGAGGTGGAGGAGGACCAAGGGAATCTCAAGATGTATCAACGAGGCTGCAATGCACCCTCCCGTCCCGGCCTCGTTGAGGCTTCCTGTGTCACTGCGCGAAGCGCTCCACTTGCACGACGAGCGCCATATGGGCCCGCAGTCCACGCGGGAGTTCCGTTTGAGCGAAGCCCGCCCTCACTCTTTCGAGTTTGAGGTATGCGTCTAGATGCTTGGTGGAGTCATTGTCCCATCAGTTGGGAAGCTGGCAGTTGTCATCATCACGTGTCTTCTCGACTCGAGAGAAAAAAGATGCGGCGTAAAGTTCAAACAGCTCCCAGCGACAGCCCCGCTTTGAAAAGGAGCCGCCCTGAATCCGAGCAGCTGTTGCAAAGGTTTTCGCCCCTGGTCGTGACACCGATCGAAGTCTCAGGCGAGAGCCCCTTGTTGCAAAGGAACCGCCCTCCATCCGTGGAGCTGCTGCACATCGCTGCGCACGTGGCATTTGCGTGTAGTGTCTCAGGCGAGAGCCCGGTTTGAAAGCGTGCCGTATATCTCTCAGCGTACGCGTTGGAAATTCAGCAGCCGAATGTGCGCGGCGCTCGGGCGAGAGCCACATTTTGAAAACGATTGGCCCTCGATCCATGCAAGTGTCGGATGCCTTGAAGACGAGTGCGCTCGGCACTAAGGCCAGAGCCACACTTCGAAAACGACTGTGGAGTTGTTGGATTTGTTGTAAGCCTCGTGGCTGTACGTTAGAATGAAATCTTAAGCGAAGCGCCAAGCCCAGCCCACGAACACGTCTGGCGGTGCGACTGCGAAGAGTTCTTTCGGGTGCCCCAATCTCTCGCTCAGTTTTGGAGCCCCTGGGGCCTCATGGGCCTCGTGAGGGGTGCCCTCGAGGCCGTCGGGGCCTCCCTGGAAATCCTGGGGGCACCGTGGGTCAGGGGCACTTCTAGCAACACCCGACTTGTGATGACCCAGGACATTTGGTAGCAAATTTTGGAAGCCTTGCGCGGTCCCTTAACTCCGTCTTTAGCGTCGACTCGGGTGGATCAGCGTCTGGTAACCGAGGAGGTAGCGCCGATCTAGCGCCGACTAGTGTCGATTCAGTGTCCGCCAGCGTCGATTAGCGGCGAGTTGCAAGCGCCAGCAAGTTGGTATGGGAGACTTCCCATGAGATGCCACAGAAAGGATATTTTGGGCGTTCCAGAAGGGCCGCGCCTTCGAGGGATCGAAGGAGTCGCCATCTCTTCCTCGGTGGAGGGCGGCGGAAGTAATGCGGGGGCGTCTCCGCCTGCGGAAGCTGGCGGAAGCTCGGCGGAAGGCCGCGGGAACAAAAGATGCGCCCCGAGAGATGCCAATTTTGGGGGGGCCGAGAGTTTCCGGAATCGACCACGTGGCGCGCCTGGGGAAGTTGCAGCCGTGGGTCGGCGGAGGCGGAGGTTTCAGAGTCGTGGATATCGCTGTCATGGTTCCGGGGGCCCCGGGTTGGCGGAGGCGATCGAAGGAATACACACGGTGACCTGCAGGAGGCACGTCGGAAGCGCCGGCGGAAGCATCGATATGGTGTGCGACGGCGCGATGAAGCGCGGGTGTATTTTATGTTGGAGCGTAGTTGGTTCGAGGTGCATGATGCAGCGTCGTCATTTTCAGCAGAGGTCCTAGCCCTGAACGCAGCATTTGCAAAGCTTTCGCTCGTACTCTGGTTGTTTTCTGGACATGTGTGTGTGTGATGTGACGGGCTCGCTGTTGCGCCAAGCCTTGCGGAAGAAGCACGACGACCATGACCAAGAGGTTGCGGGATGTTGTCGATGCCGAGCTTGGGCATGGTCCATGCCGACCGTCGTCGGTTCGCGAGGCTAATTCATGAGCTGACGATGTCCAAGATAAGCGATGACCAAGATCGGCACTGACGTTTCCGCGCACAGTCTTGGTGTACTATGCCGCTTACTTTCCATCCAAGCGAAAGGAGGGCGGCTTCGCCGGCGGAGTCACGCGGCAGCCCAGCGGGAAGGGGGCGGCAGTGAAGGCAGATCTTTTGATAGATGTCAGTGTCGGCGTACCCAGGGTTTCCAGAGCCAGCCATCTGGAGTGGACCTCTGCAGGAAAGAAGTGGGGGATTGGCGACGTGGGAGTTCGAGGCTTCCTGAGAGGCCGCCTGGCAGCGGGCAAGTGGCAGCCGAAGGCACATGTGACGTTCGCGTGACCCATGGTCCTCGGCTGTTGGTTGACCCCCGTGAGTCCACCAATTGCACCGTCTCCAGTTTTCTATTTTTCTGAGCGCCCATGGCCCTTGGCCCTGCCCCTGGTGTTGTTATCGGGCAGTGGCGCCCCTAGCAGGACCATGGATCGTATAGCTAGGTTCACCGAAGCCTCACCATCGCGGTCCTCGCCCACAGTGTATTTTCAGCGTGGTGATGGGTGCCGCGCAGGCATTTCGCTTCGGGGCGGTGGGCGCCTTCGGGCACCTCTTCCCTCCGAGGCCTGGCAGCCCCACTTTCATGCTCCAGTCGGCGGCGAGCCCAGGAGGGAAGTGAGAGGGGGCGGGCTTTCTCAGAAGGCTCGGAAGGCTTCGGGCCTTCCGAGATGTTTTCGAAGCCTTCCCCAAGGTGATATAGAAATTGCCATAAGGCGCGAGGACTTCTGAGAAGCCCCGCCGCCTCTCACTTGCCCCCCCCCAGCTCGCCGCCGATCCTCGATCCAGGTGGAAAACTTTCGTCAGCAACGCGAGAAGCGGCGGCGAAGGGTGGCACGCGGCATCCCGGTGCGCTTCCGCCCTCCTCCTTGGGCCAGCTGGCCCCGCGTGCTCAGGTGCTCGTGGCGGGCGCGGAGACCGTCCAGGTCTTCCAGTGCACGCAGGGCAAGATGACGCGAGTGTCGGTCGCGCGGGGGCCGCGCATCGAGGGAGAACAGACGACATTAGTTGGCTCTCCCGGATGTACCACAAACGGCAACCATCGTTGCACATGGGAAAAAAAGAAAATTCAAAAATGCAACAGCAAACAAAAATATAATAAATATACATAAAAATATCAATTATATAAACATATAATAATAACACCATAGTTGTTTCCCGACCTTCTTTGGTTGGATATTCGTTTTGAATGAGCACCGTGGTCGCCTCCTTCTCCTCCCCCCACCTCCCGCGGAAGGGGGAGGGGGAGGAGGAGGAGGAAACGGAGGAGGAAGAGGAGGAGGAGGAGGGAGGATGAGGGAGGAGAGAGGAAGGAGGAGAGAGCAGGGAGGAGGAGGCAGGATGAGGAGGCTCGCGTGCTGCCAGCACGGTTGCGTGGCGACGACGACGGCGACTTCCGCGGTGACGACGTTGACGGCGACGACGGCGACGGCGACGGCCATGGCGACGGCGAGGGCGATGACGACGACGATGTTGGAGGATCGAGGTTTGACGTTGTCTGTTTTTTGGGGATGGCCCATCTCATCGCCACGGTCGACCTCAGCTCGAAAAATAGTTTGTTCGATCGGATGTGCAGATCCGTTATGCTAATTGATTTGTGCCCTACTTGCCCCACTTGGTCCCACTTGGTCCCACTTGCCCCACTTGGGCAAGCGGGGGTCAAGTGGAGCCTCCAATTCCAGGCAAGAGGGGCCAACTGGCCCCCTTAATTCTTCGAGCTTGCGCGCGAGAGGGGCAAGTGGGGCAAGTGGGACACATTTCAAGTAGCTGTGCCCGTCGAGGTCTTGCTCAGGTGCCCGCCCCCCCCCCCTGGAGCACCTATGGCCTATGGGGGCCGTGTCGCACAGGTGGCTCGCCCAAGCGGTGACGAGCATGAGGAGAAGGAGCGTTTCGCTTGAGGCACCCCCGCACATTGGTTTTGTTGCTGACGCCGTTGGGGGCATCTAGGGCAAGTGGGCCAAGTGGGGCGCACTTCAAGACGCGGTGCCCGCCCCTGTCTCGCACAGATACCCAATCCCCCGGGGGCCGTGCCACACGGCGACACCAAATGGGATAGAGTCGCGCAGGTGCCACCACCTGTGGGGGCCGACTCGTCGCACCCTCGGCGCGCCGCCGACCTGTCTGGATGAGGCTGGGGTGTCCTCATTTTCCTCCTCCTCTTCCTCCTCCTCCTCCTCCTCCTCCTCCTCTGGGGAGGGTGTTGGGGCCCTGTTCTCGTCGTCTTGGGGGCGTCCACCAGCGCAGGGGGCGGCCTCCCAGGGCCAAGTTTTGCTTATGATACCCCCCGTAGGAGCCTATGTTTTTTCACCTACACCCCCTGGTCAAAATGCTTTTCCTGGCGCCCAAAGTGGCTGCTGAACTTCGTTATCTCGCGCCCTGCATGGAAACGCCATTGAATGCGAATGGGCCCAAGCCAGCCTGCAAAAGAAGCCCCGCCAGCACACCTTAAAACATGCACACGCGTTGCATAAATTACGCATGTAAATTCACGTGCTCACGGAAGGAGGAGGAAGTGTGCCTCTAGAGGGGCTTTCAATTGAGACTAGGGCCTAGGGCATCATGTCCCAGCGTGAACATCAGCCCGCCTCGAGGCTTCGGGGAACTGTCATGGGAGCTCGTTGGGTTATCTTGGGAGCTGTCTTTGGAGCTGTCTTGGGAGCTGTCTTGGGAGCTGTCTTGGGAGCTGTCTTTGGAGCTGTCTTGGAAACATCGCAAAGCTCTAGGGGCTGTCTTGGGAGCTCGTCGGGTTGTTCATGGAGGCTGCCGGGCGCAGTGGAAGCGCTGGGACGTTCAGGCGAGCGTTCGGCCTTTTCTTGCGCCGATGTTTTAGGAGTTCGGGCGATAGAAAGCTTAGGATTTGCCAGGCCCCTCCAGCTCACACATGCATCCTCGTCGTTCCCCGTGCCGCGTTGCCGATTTGGCTCCGATGTATACGCGCACGGCCGCTGGGTTCGGCCAGCGGCGATCCAGGTCCATGCGGCATCCATCCATGGGCCATGGACGAGGCTGCCTTGTACCTTGGGCTTGGTCGGTTGCCCAGTGCTGATCCGCCAGAGGATGGCGATGCGCAGGGATCTCCACGTCAGGGTGACGGAGGCCCAGGTGCATTTTGCATCGGCGCGTTGCTCGATGCCGCGAACGTCGCAGGTCAGTCTGCGAGGCGGCGGCTCGATGCATTCACTGGCGAGAGTTTCCGCGGGGCTGGTCACATGCGGTATTTGACGAAGTGCAGGGAGGCCAGCAGGGCGCAGAGGAGGGAGCAGGAGATCGCGCAGGACTCAGAGGCCTTGAGCAGCGCGTGGAACCACGAACGATTGCACATCGGTGACAAAGTTGGTGAAGCATCGGGTGTAGAAGATGGCGCGCATCCGAACACGTGGAGTTTACCAGCGGTTCTTAGTGCAGCGTGGAAGCAGCTGGGCAGCAACAAGGTCGTGCGTTTCGGCGTGGACGGCATGTCGCGGTCGCTGGGCGTCCTCACATGCGTGGCCGCGGCGATCTACGAGGAGCAGGTTGACTTCGTATCCGAGCGGGTGGAGGAGATGAAGGCCCAGAAGGTGTGTCCTGTCATTTTCAAGTTCTACGACTGCACGCCATTGCGGCTCGCGTTCGGACAGCTACAATCTCAGTTGTACCCGTGCGCCAGGTACTTGATTTGCAAAGATGGCGAATGGAAGAGCTTGAAGCTGGAAGATTATTTGAAGGAGCGGCCCCGCCACGCAGGTGCGTTACGTTCTGGCGTGGTTGAGATGCTTGCGCAGGGCGCGATGTGCTGCCACGTCGACCCAGGCTCACACGAGCTGTCTGGCTTTCGCGTGTTCTGCCGGCCCAAGATTCTCCAAGCGGGCAATGCAGATTGCATATACCGTGCCACGGAAGATGAGATTCCATCATTCTCGGCGGAGGGTCTGCAGCACTTGTGCCAGGCATGCCCGTACGTCATCTTGCACGAGGCCCCCGACGCTCACAGCGCGAACATCCGCAAGAAGGCGAAGACGAGCGAGGTGATCCCAAAGAACTGTTTGCACGTCGGTGCCAGTTGCGACGTACATCAAGCCCATCGGATGATCGAGATGAAGGAGAAAAAAGTCATCGGAAACCTTCATGCGATCGCTGTGTCGTGCAGCCATCCAGCTTTCCAAAACAGACTTCAAGATGCTCTCCGCAAGGTCATCGACAGACTGGAGTACACGCGCGGGGAGCCAGATGAAGCAGTCCTTCGGCGTAACCGCAAGTTGGCGAATCACACCTTGTTGCGCCGCAAGACCGCGATCCTCGATGATGCCATGGATGACGAGCGGGACTACGACATGGCCGTCGACACGTTTCTTTCGTTCTGGAATTCGGATTGGCGTTTGTGCCGAGTTGGTCACGTGTGCCGCGGGTGTTGCGCAGGTCCTGAGGATGCGAAGCATCGCATGTTCTCCGCAGCGATGTCTGTGGATTTGCTCCAGAGTAGGGGTTGCGACTTGCCGAGCCTGGACGACTGGGGGTCTTGCGGTCGTGCTTGCGGTCTTACCAGCATTGGACTCTTGTGCCACAATATCCTTTCTGAATGCTTTGGCGTTGCAATGCCCGACTGGCAGTCCATGTTGCCGCCGCGGGAGGACGCCGATAACGATCAGGACGACAACAAAGTGATGGCCAGGCTCAAGGTTCGAAAGAAGGCGTGGAGATCGAAGTGCACTTTCGAGGACCCAGAGGCGAGGAGGAAGATCTTGCTCATGAATTGGATGGCAGCCCCAGTGGAGAAGCTGATGGCCAACTTGCAGTACCTCGACAGGGCGGGCAAGGGGCTCTACGACGTGTGCGTGAACAACGAGTGGAACCCTATATTGGTTTGCAAGCAGCGGTTGACCCAGCTTGTCCGGGAGGGCGCCGACGGCGACTTGGGCCCTCTCTTCGAGTCCACGCCGTTCGAAGACCACAGCGCGTTGCTGGAGCAGGTCCGTCTCCTGGGAACCGACTTGGGGGCACAGGTGATGCGGGGTCGAATGGCCCCTTCTCTGCAGACGGTCGAGCGCGGTGATTTTGTTGCCCGGGGCCCGCCGATCGGCTGATCTGTTTCTCCTCCTGCCCCCCCGCTACCTCTACTGCTTCCTCCTCCTCCCCCTCCTCCTCCTCCTCCTCGTCCTCCTCCCCCTCGTCCCCCTTGAGCCCCCGAAGTCGAACCTGTGGAGACCCATTCGAAGTTCGGCCTCTTGCGGCCTGACCCCGAGGACCTGGGCGACGGGGCGGGGGGCGAGCAGGGGGAGAGAATCGGTCGGGGAGCGGAGGGGGAGGAGGTGCAGGAGGAGGTCGATGTGAATGAGGAGGAGAAGATGGCTGAGGACGAAAGGGGTGATGAGGAGGAGAGGCAGGAGGAGAGTGACGACCTTTTCTCTCGCCACCTTCTCGCTACAGGCCACTTGGCGCTTCCTGAAGTACGACACCTACCCCTACCTCTTCGCGCGGTGGGCCCACCCAGCCGCGGACCCTGCGTGCCGAGACCAGATCCCTCAGCATTTCTTCGGCCTCAAAAGCCTTGCTGTCGCGACCAAGGATTTTCGGGGAAAGTCTACGAGCTGCTCGGCACTCCCGACGCCATGGTGGCCTCGGAGGACTTCAAGCTCGCGCTGCGCGCGTGGGCCATCAATTATAAGTTCACGGACATGTTCAGCGAGCGTCTGTTGGCGAAGGTGCGACAGTCTGTCGGCTACTCCGACGCCGACGTGGACGTCGAGAGAATATGTTGCAGCGGATTCCTCTCCCAGGTGATGACGGAGCATTCCCAGCGCGGCGGGGCCGACCCCCGCGCCCCTACCAGGACTCAGCTCCTGGAGGATGGGGTTCACCTCAGACGCAGGCGGGATCTGAAGAGTTCGAAGCCCAGAAGTGCCTTCGTGAACTGGATGTGCAAGCAGGAGGCGGATCGCAAGAGCAAGAAGATCAAGCTCGACAAGGAGCAATATCACACGTGGCAGTT